ATTAAAGTAATCAGCCAAATGTCAGTAAAATATATCAGATGTGTCTGAGACTGCACAAGAAGGCTGGGGAGAGTCGTTTCGGCGCCGTTCGCAACAACTCGGACTGACGCATGGAACGACTTGCTGCATTTTACATCAAGAGCTTAAATTGAAAGCGTACACAATACAACTTGTAAAAGAACTGAAGGCGCTCGACTTTCCCAAGCGAAATAGCTTCTACGGGCGACATTTTATTAAGTTTCTGTGTTTTYTCTTTAAAARAGTAAGGAACCTCGAAACGGATCATCCTTYAAAAGCAAATAATGACAGAAAATTAAAGAATCTAAGATTAAATTAAGATGCTAGGGTCGCCTMATGCTTAGCTATGTTCACAACTTGCACGCTGGCCTTGAACAAAGTTTTTTCCTCGAATGCGGAAACACCGGCAAAGCACACATATAGGTAAGCCACATGACATTTCTAACGAATTTTCTTTAAATAAATTCAAAATTTTGTGAATCAAATTAACTCTGRAAAACGCACATTCACAACATGACCGCTACCGTGAGCCAACAAGCGAGCGAGCATGCCTCAAGGGTTCTAACCAGATGTCCTTCTGGCGCGAAGTCCTTGCAAGAAGGGGTGTGCAGTGCGTGCGCAGTGCACCGGAACACGAACGAAGAMTCGCTGAATGTCATTACAGAGCACGAAAYGAAGTAATAAGTAGACACATACATRCACACACATACTTAAAAWTGTATTAAAATACGTTAAGAATTTTCACGTGAAACACCGGAAAGTTAATAAAGTCCGTTGTAGAAKGTTTGGCGGCGAGGCAGCGGCCAGTAAGTCACCGCTGTCGGACAGGTGCGCGGCTAAATGTTGGGAAWTTCTCGCGCGAAAACGGTTACAAAAGTAAAACCTTGCCGTCAAGGTGATATACCGTGCCGTTAYGCATGTGTGCATGTATGTTAATGTTTGCATTATTAATTTACATAGAAATGAAGCAGCGAAATGCACAATATAAATGTGCGCAATTTYATTGAAATTAATCCTGAGCTGTTGGGCGTTGCGTGTCAAACGGTCGCTTACAAGCGCCTTAAGCGCCTATCATGCCGTCAGGATAAGCGCGCCAACTAACGCACAAGCGTCGGCAAACGAGCGATCAGCGGCCAAATCAACAGATCGCAATCGCAATCACACGCGTTACACGACACAAACACACACACGCACAGATGCATATAGCCAGGCAGTGGCTTTGATTGTGGCGCGTTCAATTTGGCTGCATGAATCCCACATATTTGTAATTAACCGCGTCACGCATGCGCCGCCACAACGCAGCCACCACCACCGCATTGGCTGCGATTGCCGCGCTGATTGGCGTTTGTGCTGTGACTGTCAAACGGCCACACGACAAGTCAGCGCTACCTCAATGTGTACATTTAATAACCATGTGAAGCAAAAACAACCGCTGTTAAGTCGAATTGTTGCACAAAAACTAATAAAATACTGAAAATATAAAATGAGCAAATATATCCTGCGTCTGCTGAAGGCTGTTTTGTCATATGTTTGTGATGTGTTGCATGTGTGAATAGGCTCGTGTAATCACCGAAGTTAAGCTGTCGAATAATGCCACTGCCTAGTGATGATAGCCAACAGCTACTGAACTGACTAGTCATAATGGTTTTGTAGGTGGCGCACAGTGGGCTCACCAAGGCCAAATATGTATATAGTACTTCAAGCAAAGAGAGATAGTGCCAACCTTTTTTATACTATATACACAAACAAAATCGTGTCAACAAAAATTTSAAGATTTTGAATAGTAAAACCAATYTTCTTTATTTCTATMTTTCTATCTTCCTCAMATACATCTAGCAAACCATTTAATGTGGGTTATCGTTATGATGGAGAATTTCGATTCTTTGYATCTTTCGCCACTTTAGTTAAGAAAGCTAGGTTGGATAGGGTAAGGTTAGGAATTCGATCAGGACAGGTATTTCACTTGAGCAGCTGAGAACGCCAGTCCGTTGTGGTACTTAAAACACCTTTATAACAAGTCATAAGATCCTTACAAATCGACAAAGCGCKTTGAGCCTATCACAAACTTCTTGAGACGGTTAATGCCCRTTTCTGCTATGACTTCTGGTTCGCTGAASATAAGRCTACCGAGATGTTTCAACCTCGGTCTTTCAAAGGCTGTACAATGGAGACAGAAGTGCCTGAATGTTTCCAACTTCCATCACCCATACAACTTAGACAACATTAGTCCGAAAAGAAAATTTGCCTTACCGCATGAATGGCAATTGTACAGCATCCGGTAAGAAACTTACGATTCCGGAAAAATCAACTTTGCTAAWGGCAAGTAGTTTAGTAGATATCCGACRTTGTACTCTGCGCCAAAAAGGATCTCACAACTTCACAAGAGCTGGCTTTAAGATAATTAATCAGAAAATTCTTTTTCCATATACTATGAAAAAAGAAGTCGATATCTCACAGCATACAGACAAGCAAGCAGGTGTTCCCTGTCTTCTTGACTTTTGAGCTGTAAGCGTTGGTCAAGATCCAGCACTTGTTCACTTCACTCCTAACACATCACGRTTGTGATGCCAAAGAACAGAGCCACAACAAAATCCTCAAGTCGCTAGCCGGCAGCACAAGAGTAAAAGTCCAAGAAACGTTGTTGGCAACATACAAAGCAATTGGCCTCCTTTAACTACGTCGCACCAATATTTTCGCCTGGATGCAGTGAAACGCAGACGAGGCAACTTTAGACATCTAAATTCGGATTAACCTCGGATTATAATGGGATGTCATCTATTGGACAAATAGACAATGAGGCCTATATGCTTCCAGTTACGTAGTTATTTTCATAGGAACCATACCTGCAGTAATTTACTTGAAATGGAATCATCTCCTAAGAGCTTAAAGAGGCCCAGCCTCAACTACGTTGAAGACATAACACTACACGCCGACCAGACTTCGGATGCAATTAAGTTCAGACATTCACTGACCGCCATTCACATTGGAGCCTTAAAGCACCTTCACCGACACCTCCGTGAATGGTGTACTGCGGGTCGAACTAGCATCCATTGCAGACGATGAGCTCGAGTTGTCGCGAGAATGTACGTGACCCTTGCACAACTTCGTTCTGGATGCTGGTACAGGTTAAACTCCTACTTATCCAGAATCGACGCCGACTTACCAAATATATATCTAATAGGCTGGCTGAAGTAGATATTAGCCCTCTCAATGAATTTAGGCGGTTTGTAGATGTGCGACGATCTTTTTAATCTATACCGATAAGTTCTAGGTACAATTATAACGGGCAAATGACTCTAACTGTTCAAGTAAAATTATTCGACGCCTCACGAAAAACAGCCTATTTAACTAACCTAACCTTCCTCAACAGGTTTTATGGTTGTTATATTCTTTTATTATAGTATAAGTATAAGTATAAATATTTGTCTGAGCAAAAATTGATTTTTGACGGACCAATAATGACCAATTTTTTAACTTTTCGATTTTTGTCGATCATACGTCATTGTACATACCTACATATATGTGTATATCTAGTAGCTTCAAGTGAGCAGCTTATTTTAGGAAGAAGGGTATTTTTTATATAATATACATCAAACAAAAATACTTATCAGCGATGAATCTCAAATGCAAATATAAATTATGAATGCGCCGAATACGCGGATCACGATTAAATTGAGCATATGCCATATTGTGAGCGTATTTGCCTTGATGAGGCCACTGATGAGGCGACATTGTCGACGCCTGGCCGCCAATTACAGTCACGCGTTACACCGATCTTACGTATGTGGCTGTGTCATGCGCTGTCAACACTGCTGTGCACGGCTGAACGCCTGATCACCACACAAGCCAGTCCGACTGGCCTGTGCGCCTGAAAGTGCGCGGCAGTCAAACTGATTGCGCTGATGCTGCAATGTGGCACCAATGGTGGTTGTTTAACTTGATATTAATGTTTTTTTTTTTTTTTTTTTTTTTTTTTTGTTGCACTGGCTTAATGGAATTATCAAGCATTTTAATAACAAACGAAAACATATGCGGTCGCCTCATAATGCGCGCCAGCAATGAATCTCGTATTGTGCGCATGCGCAGGGCGCGCAGTGAAGCGCGTAAAGGGTGTGAGGAGGAGAGTGTAAATTTAAATTGAAATCCCCGCAAACAATAAACGCCATGTCTCATAATTATTCTCACAATGTTATTAATATTTCATTTATTGTTCTTGGCTTTAAATTTGTATTATGTTGTTGCTACTGAAGCATGTATGTATAACTGTATATTTGATGCTTATCGCAGTGGTAACAACAGTAGCAGTGTCAAGCATTTGACAAACCCTTCCACTGGCGCCCTCGCAAGCGCATTGTCAACTCTGCCTTGTAATGCGGCAATCAAAAGTCTGCGAGGATCAAACCTAAAGCTGGCAGCTCCTGCCACAGGACATGCGCAATTGTGTGATTGCACAAAGTGTGAATAATGTTGCAAGTAATTGCAGCATCCAGTATATATTCACATGCACAACATGTGTGCTTATGTGCACATGTTCGCCGTTGTAGGCAACAACAGCAACACGCGTGCCATGTGGCAAGTCACGCGTATTGCCGCTGCGCGCGTTATCAATTGCATGTTTGCGCTCACTAATCGCCAATCATATTTGCTAAGCACAAACATTGCCCTTGCACAGCAGCACCACCACCAACAACAACAACAAGAACAACGCATACAAAGAATGCATCATTTTTCAATTGGCCGCCGTTGTGGTTGCACAGCTGCTCATTTTCCCGTTCCAGCGGATCAGCCGCTGCAGCATCGCGATAAGCTTGACAGCGACATCGAAGTCAAATAAATGGCAGATAAATGTACAAATGCGTTAAAAAGTAACGAATTTAGTTGGCAGACATGAACCTAACTATTCGTGCAACACATCAGTGTGTATTTGTGGTGTGTCTCCTCTCTGTGTGATTAGTTTATCAATAGAAGCGTTCTTTACTCACCATTATCACGTTCGCTCTTATCATCGCCTTGCAGGGACCCGCTCGTCGYGTTTAACGTGCCCGCATCGGCGCCATTGGCGAAGCCATCGTTTAGGTGTATGGGTGTGCGCGGCCGTCCATCGATGGTGATTTCCTCGCCGGCATTTATATCACGATTTGTTTCATACCAAAGCTGTGCAAAATCAACGTGTTATTTAGAAGAAAGTTAAATGTGTATTTGTTGTTTGTAAGAATATGCATTGCACTCACATATCCTGTCACCAGGAAGTTCTTCAGATTAGCCTCTCCATCATTGTCGACAGTGCGTATTTTGCGCAGCCACGTCGCAACATCTTGTGACGGTTCCAACCAGCCGCGGAAATGTGGACCTGCAATGACCTGTTGCAAAAAGCTGCATTTAGTTTCAAGTGTGATTAGGCTTATAAAGGTATGTAAGTAAGTATTATTGTAACGAAGCATGGAAATGTAGCGACTATACAATGTTAAACGATAATGTGGGTTTATAATGCTGATATAGGGGTTATTTTGATATTTGAAGATTGCTGACATACAAATTGAGTGTTGAGAATCAGGAACTTATATGAAAAATTTTTTTATTTGACCAGATTTCTTCACGAAATTTTACTAAAATTGTTGTCAAATACAACACAATAAAAATTCAGAATTCATATAGCATACAGCTGCCAATCGAAATTAACGCTTTTTCTCTCCTTTTTCATTTTACTTAATTTTTCTTTTCAATTGTAGTTTTTCATTTTTATTGAACTTTATAATATTTTTTTCAAGAAAAACTTCAACACACCATGCTTCACATATACATTGTACAAATGTATGTATTTACATTAGATAAAACAATCTAGAGCAATTGCGAGCGCCATCTGCCGTGCCGTAGCTAGCAACGAAAGTGTTATACCAAGTTAAGTTTGAATGTGTGTGCACCAAACAGCAAATGTGGTAAGTAAATTAGCACAGTGGTGAGTAATTAATTGCTTTAGCAAGCAAGTACAACACATTCAACCAGAGAACTTCAAACATAATAATTAAAAAATTAAATTAAATTATTTTATTTACAGCAAAAAATGTATTAATAGTAAAATATTATTCAAAAGAATATCAAGAACCAACGCTCATAAACTTTTGGGATTATCAGCAATACATATTCAGCATTGCTATTTATAAGACTTGAACTCATACGAGTATTCAGTTAACTTCATTGTATAATATATTACTAATCGCAGTTTTCTTACCTATTTACTACCATATTTACCTTTTTTATTGTATTTTGTAGGAATTAAAAGCAATTTATAATTTTTTCTTCACAAGTTAGCAGACAAATGAATTCATTAGCCATGCGAAATTTCAAGAAACGAGTTAACATATTTTTCTTGTTTACAATATACAATGCAATAAATACTTTTTTCCAAGCGTTCCATTCATCTTTAGTCGATTTCATGTTTAGACGTAAATATTTTCCTGTTGTGTTGATATTATATATGATATTATATAAAGTAGTAAGCGAACACTCAAAAGTGCTTAAAAACACTTATGACGTATTTTGTGTTCATACCTTCGAATTCATTCTAATATGAAAAAATTCAGGGCAAAGGCCACAACTATTACAACAGATTTTGCGAAAGAAAAAATTCATTCAGATAATGACTGTGAAATGACTATGAGTTGAACAATGGAATATGTATTCATGTAGTTAGATATACTTTTACATATAGATGGTATGTAGGGTTACATGCATCTGTCACTCAATAACTACTGCCAACAATCATAATGTTTACAATTCTAGAAAATTGCAATAATTTTCTGAGACAAATCACGAACTTTACAATTCCCCTTAAAGAGGCTTCCAAATATTAACAATGACTAGTTAGAACATCCGTTCATAATGAAATTTAAGTGTGAATTAAAAGATAATTTGAAGTTGAAGTAAAGATAAAGCCATATACAAAGTCTTCATTATTAGAAACTTTTCTAAATTTTGCGATTAGGCGATAATTCGATTAACATTCGAAGGAAAACTTCAGAAGCTTCATGTTTTTGCACTTCATGATGATATTTCAGCTATATGTTTTTGGACAAGTTCCACCTTCACATAAATATTATCCAACAAAAAGAGTGATCTATAAATTTCAAGTCTACCCTGAATGACTAATACATATTATGTATAGGTTTTCTTAAATAAAATAAGTGTGATGGGTTCTTCGCTAATATCTGCTTAGAGATCATCATAGGAGACAGGAAAGAAAACTTAATTTCGGCTGCACCTATACGCTTTGCAATTGCATTTTTTATGTATATTAACTGAGTCCGAATCCTACGGAAAATGGGAAAATGCTTTTCTATTTCTTCTAACCAATTGTTTGATATAAATAACCTTCAAGTCGTAGCGTGAAGCTATCCTTTCTAATAAAAAAAATTCTACACAAAGAGATGATTTTGATGGGTCAGTCTGAAGCTAGATGCTATAGTTGTCTGATATCGACAGTACCATACCATTTGGTTACGAAGGGCACGGAGATTTCCTTCCCGATCTTGATGGAGCTTGTGGTATTGCTCAACGTCAGTTTACGCATCTGTACTAGTTTTATGAGTGTACCAAATTCATGTTGAGGATGCTCATACCATGGTAGTAGGCGCAGATTGTGGGGTCTCTCTTTTGTGGATTGAGCAAAGCACACTTAAATTTCAATCAGCGCGCATGAGTCTGGTCTGGCTTTAGTTTGGGCGGTAATCCTTCGGCCACTGCCACATTGTTGCTCTTCAGACGAGCAATTGCTATTCGAACTTCTTTCTGGCCGGGTTTACCATCTCCTGGTGTTAGAATCATAGATAACCTCTGGGGATTCTACAAGATCCTGGTTAGGTCTTGAGACCTTCTGTTAGTCACCACATATTTTCTATCCGATCCCGCACTCCACTGCGACACGGCACTCCTCATCGTACCAGCTGTTCTTTTGCCTTTGCCGAAAACCAATGGTTCACTTGCAGCTGTACGTAAGCTCGAAATGTCGTCTCACAGTTCCCTTATATCAGTTGTAATGTTGTGATAAGTGCTTTCTGAGAGCACGAGTGCAAGTCGAGCAAAAACTCGTTCGGCCGTCTGTTGTGATTGCAACTTCTCATCGTCGAATCTTCCTTATGTTTGTTGACGTGCACAGAGGAGATTGCATAGCTACGCTGCAACAAGGTAATGGTCCGAGGCAATGTTAGGATCTCGGGGCGTACTCACGTCTAAAACACTGGAGACGTGTCTTCCATCTATCAGAAGTCGATCGATCTGGTTTGCGGCCTTTCGATTCGGAGACAGCCAGGTTGCTCAGTGAATTTTTCTATGCTGGAATCTAGTACCACTGATAATCGTATTTCGGGCCACTGCGAAGTAGATGAGTCTCAACACATTTAGGGATGTTTTATCGTAAACGCTGAATTTACCGACCGCACTGCCAATGATACCTTCTTTGCCCACTCTGTCGTTAAAGTCACCAAGCACGATTCACCGTCAGGGCGTGAACCCAAATCAGCGATATGTTGAGGAACTTTGCTTTGATGCGGATGGTGGGTAGACCTTCATTCACCGGGATGAATGCCAGTACTCGGTGCCGAGTATCTCTCCCATCACGAATCCCACGCTAGGGTCTCTCATTCGAGGCTGTTATGTTCTTTTTATTTGGGGAGGGAGGGAGAGTTCTCTAACCATATTTGACTATGACGTTTACCAAAAATATTTAAAGGTGAAATACTAATTCCTTTTAACAATTACAATTTATTATTTCGAATTCTATAAATACTTTTAAGGAAACATAAATTACGCTTAATTCCTCGAAAATTATATTCTTTCATAAAATGTAATTATCTATTCAAGTTCATTACCGCGAAAAATAAATTACATAAAAATATTTCTACGAGCAAATGCAGAGCAAAATTACATTCACTATTTCCACCTTTTGGACTGCCATTTCCACTTCCACTTTCGTATTCGCATTTGGTTTTGACTTTGGTTTTGTCGATAATCGCGCGCAATATTGCGGTGTCCAGCGGTTAAGTAATGTGTTTGTTTTGTTTGAATTGAACTATGAGTGTTGGTGCACATACATATGAATATATGAATACTTATATCTGTAGGTATAATAGGGTTAGCCAAAAAGAAACGCATTTATAGGTTATTTCTGTATACTCGTACAGACAAAAAACTTATTGATATCAAATTCTAATATATATGACCGATAAAAATAAAGTTTTGAATACATAACTTGTTTAGTTGTCGCGATATCTTCACGAAATTTGACACAGATTATTATCCAAGATAACACCATAATCTCTGAAGATAAGGCTCAGATCGGATCACCATAGCATATAGCTGTCATACAAACCGACCGATCACAATCAAGTTTTTGTATGGAACACTATTTTATTTGAGAAGATATCTCCAAGAAATTTGGTATGAATTATTTTGCAAGGTAATGCTATATTTTTCGAATATGTCTTTTTGAATCGGATCACTCGAGGGTATAGCTGTCATACAAACTGACTGATCGAAATCAAGTTCTTGTATACATAACTTGTTTAGTTGTCGAGATATCTTCTCGAAATTTGGCATAGTCTGTTGTTCATTACAACGCTACAAGCTCCTAACAAATTGTTTAGATCTGGTCATTAAAATCATGTTATTGGTCTTTTTATGTCTTTTCTGCTATAAGAAATGCTTTTATTTCTACTTTTCAATTCCAAATGTCGTATATGGTATATGTATAGCTTTGAAAATAAATAAATTTCTTACTATTTTATGTTTGCTCACCCTAATGCCTATATATAATACAAATACACGCCGCCACTATGGCAACTGTAATGCTCTTACAATACCGCATAACTATGAAAATCAATTAATGTATGGAATTTATTATCGGAAGATCTTTCAACGCACACACGAGTTTAAGGCGAATCTGTGTTTATATTATATTATTATAAAATAAACAATAACAACAACCGGCTGAATACAAAATGAGCAGCCGCGTTGAATAAAATATGAGCGATTTCTAAGTAATGAATGTATGTAATTTTCATATAAAAACATGTGTGCAAGTTCGTATATTTATAAGCATTTCCACAGCACTCGCGTGCTTTTGCCGCACATACACGTAAATCATATAAACATATACGCTTGTTTGTGTTTCGGTGTGTCACTCATCCGCCGTGTACTTCCAAACGTTTTTGATCTCGCGACTTTTAGCTGTCGTTTGCCGTACGTGCAACGTATGGTCTAGCTCGTGTAAATACTCACGACTATCATTGGTTAACCTAATATCCGTCTATGCTTGAGAATATTTATACGACTTTCCCATAAATTTTATAATTGATGTTTATTGAAATATTTCGTAAATCTTGTTGTCAGTTTGCTTTCGTTTCACTTAGCGAAGCAATCCGGTTCTGACTAGATAATTATTTGTACTTTCTAAAATTATGTAGTTAGCTACGAGTTGGCGGTTGTTATAGGCCTATTTTACAGACACATCAATTACTATAATTAAAATGCAATAAACAACTTTTAATATTTGTGTAGACATGCAATTTTAATGCTTTAAACTGTGCACAAATATATACAGGGTGTTGTAATTGGAGTGAAATACGATTCACATAAATATTTTTTTGTATGTCGAGAAAATTGGTGGTCTCAGTTGATGTGGAATCTTCGAAGTGCTCGTATATTGGTAAGGCCTACCATCTGATCAAATTTGAAGCGGACTGAAAAAAAAAAACAAAAAAAAAAAAACAAAAAAAAAAAAAGTTTTATCTTCCTTATTATACATCTTTATTATCACCATCCAATCTGTTTGAATCGCATTTCCCATACACTTGTCATGAGCCAGTTTCGAATACTGAATACAGTCACAAGAAGTCAAGTGAGGCCAATAGACTGGATAAGTAATGATTCTCGTTTCTTTCAGCAGAAAAGGCAGTCACAATCATGCCAGAATATGATGGCACATTATCGTGGTGAAAATTCCATAAAATTTTTGTCCATACAAAAATTACCACGAATTGCTTCATGTAGTCCCCTGAAAACCCAAGCTATGAGCATCACCTTGATTTTTGACCGACTTTGACGTGGTTTTTTCGGCTTTCTACCTGAAAGTACGGTTCCCAGCTCCGTTGTCTAGAAACTCTTTTGCAACCTCTACCAGATATCGTTTCTGTAAAAGATTCAGGCCGTTTGGTTCAAGTCTAGCATTATCATGATTCATATCCAAAACTTTAACCACAATGTGTTTAGTTACGACCTCTACTTGATACGATTCCAGCATTATTTTGCCACATAAGTTTCAAGCCTTTTGGTTCAAGTGTAGCATTATCATGCTTCATACACAAAACTTTAGCCAAAATGTGTTTAGTTGCAACTCTACTCGATGTCTTTTGGAACGATTCCACTACTTGATACAATCCCAGCATTACCTTGCCACATACCCAAAACATTATCCGAAATGTGTTCAGTTGAGTCATAAAAGATGCTGAGATTCTTTGCAATCTATTTGATGCCAACACGACGATTTTCAAGCACTGCTCTTTAATTTATTACCGCCATTAACAGCGATGGGTAGATGATTCGCATGACTTCACTGAATGCTTTGTGCTACTAAACTACCTGTGTTCGTGATAAAGTAGAATTTCCCGAATAAGTCTGAAACATGTTCAACGATTTCGGAATTGTGAGAAAATTTCATTTCTATAGGGCTGGATTGGCATATTTTATCGTGAATAGTGTTGTCTCAGAGTAGATATACAAGCACCGTTTCAGAGTGCATAGTTACACCTTTGTCAGCAGAGCAGTAATACAAGCCTGGAGCGATTTGCTTAACCTGGCCGAAGGAATCACATCTGGTCTTTCCTTTCAACTGGTTAGCTTTAGCACGATATTGAAAAGCACACTCGTATTCTTAATAGCCCAGGGTAATTGGCTGGAATCACTTTCTACATGAATGTGTTTTTTTCTTTCAGTTTTGTGAGTTTCTCTGTTATCGTAAACAGTTAGTGTTTAACTGTCCAAGTGACACAAGAATTTTAGTTCATGTCAAAATATTTTTTGGATGCAATTTTTAATTCCACAAGTAAATTAATATTAATTAGTATTAGTTCATTCTAAAAATAGTACTGAAGGAGTACAATTACATAGGTTCCGGTGTTATACTATAAGGGAATAGAACTACAAGTTTCGAGCTGATTTAGCATAATATTATCAATTCAATCGAGGGACAAGAAAAAATTACGTTTAAATTCGGTCACAGCCGTTACTCGGTGCAATGCACAGTGGTCGGTCTTGTATGAAATCAGCGGCCAAAAATACTTCCACTGCCTAAATTAAAGTGAAATTTTTTCCTAAGCTTTTTAAAATCATAAGAAGTCATTAACAATTATATTAACATAAATAAACCGCTCCAAAGCGCTATCTGGTTTCAAATTCCGCCACCCGCCGATGATAATAATAAAAAAGTTGTTTAATAAAAAAAGAATTATTTGAATTTTATTCAACTAAATCAAAAACTGATTTTAATAAAATTGATTTACCTTTGCAGCGAAGTTT